GAGGCGGACAGTAGGTTCATTCCTGAACCTAAAATGTTAGCTGCTGAAAGTCCCGTTGTGGCCACAAAGGCCACTGAAGGCCTCAGTGATGGCGACGAGGCGCTGTGCCTGGAGAGTCTTGTTAATGCAGAAATGCCATCTGTAATGGACTTGGCACAGCCACCCTGTTTGTGCGTCGCCATAGCAGCTAAATGTGAAGTTCGCAGTACCTCCGGCCCGGTAGGTGAGGACCCCTGTACAGAGAGCGGGGCACAGTCGGGTGCTGACGCACACTGCGAGCTGGGCAATGTTGGGGCAAGTAGTTCTTCCAGGTGCGAGCGGCACAGCCCCGAGGAAGACGCTTGCATTGCTCAGCCGTCAGTCAAGCTTCCCGCAAGTCAGGGTGTCCACAAGTTAACGGAAAATCCCGACTGTATAGGCATTATAGCCGAAGAGACAAGCGAAAGAAGTTCTGCTCTGCAAATGTTTCAAGCGGACTTTTCAAAAGTGAGCACTGGCCATTGTGCAAAAAGAAAAAGACGCCGCACAAACAGAAGGAAAACGAAGGCTGCAAAGCAACCGGGAAAATCGCGAATTGCCAAACGGCAATCAACGCAACGAAAGCTTCGTTTGCGTTTTGTGGCATTTGCCAGTCGAGTGGGTCCCTATGCTTCAAACCGCCCGACAGATAGAGGGGGGAGGCAGGCATTTGTTCGTGCAGCTCGGAAGAGCCGACCTCCTTCGCTCCATTGTCCTGCTCGAAGCGCGGGGTGCATGGCGAACCAGTGCCTTTCGGCCAAGCGACACGACGTGGCTCGGGGACCCGTTTTCGTAGAACGAGGCGTCGATGAAGGCATGCCTCCGGGGTGCAGACTAACGGGAAACAGGCGTCCGTGTAGCGGCCATACGCTCTTTTGTCTGCCCGGGTTGTTTCGAACGGCTCCCCCAAGAGTGCGACCACCTCGAGCACGGATAAAGGTTACGTACATAGGAACTCAAAGGTGACCTTAAATGGAAATGACTTGTTGGTTGAATTAATGTTCATTTATGTTTTTCGATTTAGGAGCTTTCCATGAATGGGGGGACTAATTGCTTAGTTAACCTTTTGGTTTGCTTTTGTCGTCTGTGTGTTTGTAGACGATGTTCTGTCGTTTCAACCTATTACCCGTTCAGCTTGGAAAGCTTTGTTTTAGGGGACGTTGTTATTTTATTTAGTTGGACTTTTAATTTAAGGTACTGCTTAGTCGTACAATTGAAGTAAATCACGGTACGCATGAGTGCACAAATATGGCGCTATGTTATTCAAGACTTTTCTTTCTATTATTATTTTGAAAGGAAGCGCTTTAGTGTGGAGCATGTTCAAGAACTGTGCACAAATGATCATGGCGATTTCTTTCTTATTCATCTTTTTCGAAAGCTGCGTGTCAATAAGTGACTTTTCAATACCGCCTAAAGCGTGTATTTTTTATATGTGGCATTGAAGGATGCTTACCTGTCTTACTCCTGAAGTGTGCAGTATTTTTGTCATTGTCTTTTCATGTGTGTGGCCATGACGTTGTGCGCGAGTTCTGACTTTCATCGTATAGTGACCGTGAAAGTGTGGTGTGTCGGGTGTTCTCTGCGGTGTCGTCCACGTCAGCGAAATGGTGCGCGCGAAAAAGAAAACGCATTGGTGGACAACCGGAACACGGCAAGCTCTCGAACATTGGGCGTTTGTGATTTTCTTGAACATTACGAAGTAATATTCTTAAGAAGGGGGCTATGTCACAAACGACTCCAATTTTCGGAGCATCCGCGGGCCCCACCTTCAAGGAGGGGCGCTTTTGTGTTGGGGGACGACATCCGGCGACTATTATGACCCAACGTGGCGCCGGCTCGTCTTCCCTGCACCGGTACCGGAAGGGCCACCGGCGATCTCAACAAGGAGAATTACTCCCAGATGAGACGGGAACACGTGTACGCCACTGAGGAGGTTTGAACTGCATCGCAAGAGCAGTTGACGTAGAGCCAGCAACAAGTGCAGTCGTCGGTGTCGCGAGTCTCGCGTAGGCGGCGAGCACGGAGTGACCCGCGCAACGTATTGAGACGGCTGCAATTCCGGGCACCCTCGTCGTCTACCAAGCCGGCGAGACCTTCAGCGGCACCCGTCAACTCCCCTACGTGCACCAAGGGCTGGTTTGGTCCGTATGGAACTTTTTATTGTGACTTTTTTTGTTAAACCGTAAACTTGTTTTAACCAGCCTTTTTTTTTAAATATTTGTAGTGTGCGCTGCGTCGCACGTTTAAATTCTAAAGTGCCACCATGATCATTCTGTAATTAATTTCTAGTGTCTCTCTCCTTTGATTTCCATCTTGTTGTTATTTTATTAATGTTCCGCATATTTGTCTTTAGTCTGTATCTTTTGTAGTGTTTTTTTAGCATATTTTGTTATATAGCTGTTCTATCGCGCGTATCAGATTTCCTCCTCTGCTATTTTTGTAATCTCCTGCATTTGCCCCTGTTATAATTAAATGCTTGTTTATGTGTAATCAAACTCCGTGTCTGCTCTATGAGTGCATCGGTCAGGCCCACACATCACCACACGTGCAACCCCGCACGGGTCGACCAACCCGCAAATAAATTCGAAATGTGCCACTTCGAGGCCTTTCAGGCGTCGCAGGCCGAAGCGTAAAGTGGAAGCCTGCGAGTCTGCCGCACGTCGATGTTGGGTCGGCGGGGCCTCACCCGAAGTGTGTGACAATCAGAAATAGCTTTTAAACTTGGAAGGTAAAAATGAGCTTCCAGTAATTAATTGGTATTTATCATATAATTACAATTCTATAAAGGTTGAGAGAAAAATAAAAGCTTTAGTCTGTAGTTCATTGATTGATATGAGGAGTTTAACGTCCCAAAACCACCATATGATTATGAGAGACGCCGTAGTGGAGGACTCCGGAAATTTCGACCACCTGGGGTTCTTTAAGGTGCACCCAAATCTGAGCACACGGGCCTACAACATTTCCACCTCCATCGGAAATTCAGCCGCCGCAGCCGGGATTCGATCCCGCGACCTGCGGGTCAGCAGCCGAGTACCTTAGCCACTAGACCACCGCAGCGGGGCAGCCTGCAGTTCAAGTGCTTCGGAAAAGAATGGTACGAAGTTTTTTTTAGATATTTTCACAGCAACTTCCTCAAAACTTCGGTAAGGCAGACTCGCGCCACAAAAATAACAATGCCAAGAAAATTACGTCTTCAGTTTTAAAAACGTGTAATTTTCTTATATTAGGCTTTTAACAAAAAGAGATGCCATTTTTCCATAATATAAAATGTTTCAATGTGCTTTCAAGTTTAAATATCTCAAATTGCAATGTTTGCAAATAAGCATTTTTTACAATTTTGTGCTATTTTAAGACCCTCGTCCCCCCTTAAAGTGAGGCTTTGTGGCAGGGCGGGTTTCCCATAGATAGACGTTTTTACGGCTGAGCAACTCTTCCCTGCAGTGAAACCACCTTTACAAAGGGCTACAGGCAGATTAATGTACACCTGTCTCTTTATTTCAAATACTTCGCAATTTTAAATAATTTTAATTTGAATCAAAGCATATCTGGCTACTGTAATGCCCATTCGAATATTCGAGCCTTTGAAATATTCGCACACGCTTATATAGTGGTAATGGTATAAATCTACTAACTCTATACACAGAGCCAATGACTTCACTAAGGTCACTGCTTAGCTTATTTACATGATTGCCCAGGAGGGGTTATCCTGAAACCATACCCCCACAAGCTTTTCCATTGTATCTTGTTCTATCTGCTTTGCTTGAAAAAAATTATGGAGCATCTCTCCAAAAAAAAAAACCCTGACCCGGTTAAAACGGGCATCGACACAAGTGCAGGAAGAACGGTTTGAAGCGAAACTCAATGTAGCGTTTACTCGAGTAAACGTTTGTTTGAAACGCAAAGACACAGGAGGCGGGACACGTTGAAGACACTTGCACTCTGCTTCATTGGCTCGCGCCTTGTTGGTGTTACCCGCGCACTGTCTGTATTCTGGAACGCGATTGGTGTTCTTGACTCGCACTTCGTCGGCATCGCTGGTCTTGCACTGCCGACGCTTGCGTTCGGGCTCTAGCTTGCACCTCGCCGATGTTGACATTGCCATTCGCGAACGCGACCGGCTTCGCGTACCCTCGCAACGCCGGCGACAGCTGGGAACAGTACATGTACACTAGCGGGAAGCATGCCGCGATGATGTCCTGACCGTCGCCGCGATCTCATGGCAAGCAGAGACGCACTGTCTACATTCTTTGTGCCGCGAGATTCTCGAGGCACGTGCAGCGCGTGCACCCGCCAACTGGCGCCTTCTTCTCACCAACAAATGCAGAGAGATGGCACGGGTGAAATAATACCCACATGAGGAGTGGGCTTGAGCGTTTCCAGCAGTGTAGAGGGTGAAGAAAGAGAGAGCTGACATGTGGCGAGCGCGCAGCAGGCGAGAGAAAGACGTCACCGCACACTGCTAGGAAGGCGTGAGCTACTTGGCACTGCTCCAACACCTGTGCCGAGGGTAGCGGTGCGGACGGAGGGACAGCGTTACACAGGCTCGTCAAAGAGCTGCTTCAAATCTAAAAACAGGCATTTGCTTATTTACCAGTTTAAATTTTATTTACTTAACTCTGGTAACAATCAATTGTATTTCATTTAGGTTCAGCCAGTCATACAACAAATGTACATAATCATTTATTTTTTTTTTATATGTTGTAGGGTTGAATTTGAAAAGCAAAGATTAGTGTAATTCGCATACATGACTATGTTCAGTGATGGTTAAATGTTAGAGATGTCATTAAAGTAGCTGCTAATAACACATGTCTGCTCAATGTTTATTTTGAGCTGGTTGAAAGGGCCAAAATGCCGAAGGATAAGAAAATGACACAAATAATTCAGCTCACAAAGCATAATCTTGTGTCGTTTTTTTCTCCGTATTTAATATGTTAAACAAAAAAGACAGTATCCACAGGAGAAAGAGACATTGCAACGTATACCTCCAGAGTGTCCAAGTACTGAAGCACAAAATGCCACACTTGAGAAGCTGTGTCCATCAGTAAGAACTGGAAGCCCTCCATAGTTATCAATGGTGAGCTGCCTTCAGCCCTCTTCCCTGCATTCATGTAAGTCCCTGATTTAGTAACAAAGCAATGAATGCGCAAACTGGCAACTTCTACATAAATATATATTTGCATCAACATACATGTAAATCACAGTGAATGTTTCTGTAATACTGCAACTTACTTTACGCTTAACAGATACACAGATCACCTGAAACTTACTACAGCGTGTGGCACTGTTATGTTGACAGAAATTTCAGCAGAAAAATGTTAATGGTTTGCCACATCATGACTGAGACTGCTGCACCCACATCATTCTATTCCTTCCGGTATGCAGGGCTCTGATTAAAAACGTGCACTCTTAATGTCATAGAAGCCTGCATGATCCTAAACTGCTTCACTGGAGTGGGGCACTAGTTTTTTTATGATTTTAGGAGGACATTTTAAAGATAAACCTAAATTTATCACAACAAATTATTAGACTGGTGTAAATGCCACAATTTTGCATTCAAAGTGAATTCAAATATTGAAGTGTAAATGCAAATTGAGTCGATGTGTAAGTTTTCTTGAGCAGATACATTTGCAAACATAGCAGAACCCAGAAGGCAGCTTTGCCGCAATACGAGAGTGTAATGGCGCGAAGCTTATTGAAACTATCAAGTCGCTACTGTCAAGTGGACAACTGTGTTTGTCTTCGGGAAGTTCAAATAGCCAAATTCCAGTGCGAATCGAATCTAAAAGCAAATGCTATTAGCGAAAAATTTAAAATTCCAAATATTCACACACCCCTACCAATTATGTTAGCATTAATTATCATGGGTCCGCAAAAAAAAAAAAGTGGAACTCACTCAGACTCCCTCAAGAAATATGTCGGGCTTTGGACTCATTCACCACATTTTTCCTGAGCCAGACTTGCACGGACTCCAAATGTTCCTCAACCGGACTCACTGAGACTCACGGCTCAATCCGAGTCTGAGTGAGTTCACTGATATATGTTAATTATACATTATGCTAGAACATATGAAATTCAGCTTCATAACTATACACAGACCTACTCATTAAAGCATAAAAGTCACAAAGAAAAATATGGCTGTTATTAGTCGTTTTAGCTTCGCAGGTGTGAGCCCAGTTGAACTACCTATTATGGGCATTTCCGTGAACTTAAATGAACAAATACGAGACGCTACTATAGCACGAACATCGGAGACGAAGGACAAAAGAACACGAGCAAACAAGCACTCGCTTTAAGTAGACTTTTGTTGTTAAGACAGACACAGCTGAATCTCAGTAAACTGAAATCTGTTAAATGAAAGTGCATGCTCAACTTGGAACAAGTGCTTTTGAATATTTGATTTTGTTCTTGTATTCGCGATCCCTGGTCATCTCACAGTCAGCTATGGAAGTGACTTTTCACTTTTTGGAACATACTTTGAGAGCAGAAAAAGTATTGTTTTGGAGCAGCTATAAGTGTTTTCATAGTGAAAAAAATTTTAGTTTGGAGCAGCTATTGGTGTTTTAAGAGCAGACACAAAGCTTGCCATACACCAATTGGAAGTTCAAAGCACCATCAAAGCATCTCGTAAATATTAATATTTATCATGATATATATTTCACAGGACAGCAATCAATGTAACTTTCAAGAAGCAGACAATTAAAAGATGTTTCGGGTGTCAAAGATGAGCTGTGAAATGAGCTATATATTTAACATACTAGCATTTGTGGCAGAAATCAAACCAAGCCGGTAAAGCTGAGCATGATATTTCAGAAGTAACCACAGTCCCACATAACTTGCCAAACAACCAGTAGATAATTGGCACAAGATAAAAGCAATCCTGCTCATTTTCTCATATCACCCCAGTAGCCAGCATGTCTAACTAGAAAAAGAGATAGGAAAAACTGCCAAATGAGCTATATGTTTAATATCGCAGTTTTTATCGCATAAATGAGATTATAGCCGAATATGCTGCACACTAGTACTGTTCTGTAATGCTGGTATAGATTCGTTCCAGTTTCTCTAGGAGTTATAAGTTGGTCAAACAGTTTAAGTTTGTCATTCTCATTCTCTCAGAGCCATTGTGGAGCAGGATTAGAGCAATTACTAACTAAAATTACTGTTTGAAGCAGCTTTTCTCTTTCGGAGTAGTTTGGATAAATCAAAGCAGCACTTGTATCACTGCACAGTTAAAGGAACTCCTGTTAAACAAAACATTTATTTCTAGTCTGATCAGGTTCCCTTTAATGAAGGTCTACTGTATTTATATTATGTCTCTGAAGTTATCCCTGGTATGTGTCCCTCGTCTCTGAAGTTGGCGCTATAGTAGCGTCAATGGATCCCCAAGTAGCCCAAACATGCACATCGCTAAGAATACAAGACCTTTAAACCAAAACTAATGCTAGAAATTTATAAACATGCAGTGACTGAAATTTATTAAGATATAACAGATGGCTTACGATTTCATGAGTCCAGCATGGAGCAGTGTTCGGACAGCATCTACGCTTATGCCCTCTGTTGTATGACAACCCACCATGAAATGAAGGACACACTGTAGCAGAGACAAAGGCAAAGTGAGCAGTAATAAAAGTTTACAGCAAATTGCATGATTACTTAACGCACAAAGACACATGAAACAAAACCTGCAGAAGATCAGTGTATTCAACCTAGATGGTTTACAGCTCATTTGCCTAGCAATTACTTTCACAAAAGGCAAATTCAGCAGGTCAATCATGAAATTATTTAAGTGAATAGAGAAGCTGTGGCAGAGACAAAAAAAAATTAATCAGAATGCAAGACAGGTAGAACAAAAAGAAAAGAAATAATAACTGATAACTCAAACCAAGCTCTCTGGCTGCCACCCTGCTTGAGCTAAACTTCAGGGCAAGATTAACTTCTCTCAGTGTTAAAAAAGAAATAGTGACAGAAGTACCTCCCATCGCTCAGCAGCATATTGGTCTAGAAATGCAGCATCTCTTCCGTGCTTGTCCTTTTCAAGAGCATTGTAGACAGCCCATTGTTTTCCACTGTAAAACGAGCAAAAAAAAAATCGGCATTAAGTGTCCTTGCCTTTAAAGGGACCAACAACCGATTTTTTTCGACCCAGTTTTTTCCAGCGCAACCGAAAACTTAGCCATCGCAGTGTTCGTAGCTACGGTAGTTACTACCAAAAGCATGTAGTTATTTTGTAAGCAGTATTTTTCTATTTGAAAGGCTTTAAACAACAACGTGCCATTTCGTCTAGCAACGCTGAGAAATGATAGTGATGCCGGTAGCCCTTCTAGCAACTTGTGCATGCTGTCATGATTCTGCTTTCGCAGGAGGTCCTGTAACTATGCTTAACTACGTTTATTCTTAGCTTTACAACTATTTTTGAAAATAGCAAGTCACTACAATGAGATGATGTGGCTTGATACAGCTTCTCTGTATTTGTACCGTGTTGCGTATGCCTGCTCCCAAGGTTGATGCACCTGTGTCGTGAATGGCTAGTCTCGTTGTCGTTACTCTCTCGACACCCGAGCCAAATAAAGCCACCGAAAACGTCACTGCGCACCATTTCCGAGACAAAATGGAAGTATAAAAAAAAACCACATCACTCCGAAATATTAGCGACCAGGTGCCTGCACGGTTTCATGAGCACGCAGAAAAGTTGCTCAAGGCACGCTGAGGAGCACGGGATCATTACGTCATGTGAAGACAGCGCCACTTAATTGCGCACTACTAAGGCAAGCCTATAAGCACATTTTTACGGAGTAATATCGTTTATTACAAAGATGCAAACAATATTTCAACACTAACAGAAAAATTGTTGACAGCGTACACTAGATTACGCTGACGTGACATGGCAGCTCGGATAATTGAAGTTTCTGCCACCAGCGGCTATTTGCGCGATTTTCAATGAGAGAGAAAGAGAATAAACTTTTATTTGAGCAAACGCATTGTGCGCCCGATGGTAAGCGGCCTCCTTATTCCAGGTAGCCGGGGGCCTTCGCCATCTCCCGCGCCTGTTGAACCACGCTGTGCTGATTCTTCAGGCCTTGGGTCTGATAACTTGGCTTGAAGAAATGAAAACATAACTCCACTTCTCACGAGAAAAATAGGGTTGGTTTGACTCACTATGAGGGTCAATCTTTCCATTTGTGCATTCATATCATTTCATGTCCTGGGCAGTTGTCAGTCCCTTCAAAAGACATAGATTACTGTAGAATCTCGTTAAAAAAAAAAACTGAAGGAATCTGAAAAATGAGTACCTTCTAGCAGGAGTTACATTTACTGAGAGATGAACAGGAGTGCTGCGTTCAAAGAAAAAACCAATTATATTCAAGGCGATTGTTCCACTTAAGCCGGAATTCCATTAGACTTTTGTTTATCGAGTTCACTGTATATTTAGAGGTGCCCTGCCGCAGTGGTCTAGTGGCTAAGGTACTCGGCTGCTGACCCACAGGTCGCGGGATCGAGTCCCGGCTGCGGCGGCTACATTTTCGATGGAGGCAAAAAAGCTCTAGGCCCGTGTGCTCAGATTTGAGCGCACGTTAAAGAACACCAGGTAGTCGAAATTTCCAGAGCCCTCCACTACGGCATCTCTTATAATGGCTTTGGGATGTTAAACCCCACATATGATAATGGCTTTGGTGGCTTTGGGATGTAAACCCCACATATCAATCCATCATGTATATTTAGGAGTCACTACAAGGAAATGACAAGACTTTTAAAGAAGGGAGAGTCGAGGATTGGGACACTTTTCAGAATTATATTTTTAGTTTTGTTGAACTTTAATGCAGAACCATGTTAGGTGGATTAAAACAAACAAAAGTCTATCAAATCAAGCTGCAGAACTTCTCAGATGCACTGGGTGGTACCGCTCTTTGTGCAGCTGTAATAAAAAAGTTTGCGATGGCTAAAATCTGTCCCATCCTACCAGCCTTTCTGGGTGGAGTGGGACGTAACACAATGGTTCAAGTGTCTTCTGTGATTATCATAATTGGATAGTTTAACACCAAACATTAAATGGAGCAGCACAAACTTTGCCACAGCGATAGATTTCGACACTTGCAGCTTCATCACAATTTCTGAAGTATGCAAAGTCCCTGTATCTTTCTTACAAAGAAAGTAGAACAAGGAGCTCATTCTTCATTCTACAGAAACTGCACATTGAAGCTGATATATTATTACTGCTCATGACTCCAGCCACATAATGAACATCAATTTTTTTTAAAATAAAACTGATGAGAAAATTATCTGCTTTTGTCAATGGAATATATTTACTAGACAGACTGATTTCACATGTCTTGCCAGTCATTATTAAAACCTGGAATGTCATTGTCAGACTTGTCAAAGGCAAAGGCCACTGTGTCTTTTTTACTTGAAGAAAAGCAATCCTTCCTCAAATGCAATTTATTTTTTTGATGGCCTGTGGCAGCAGTCTTGACTGTACTGCGCTCCTTTTTAAAGACTGTTCTGCTAACCTATGTGAATTATTTTTCAATAGTGTGCTTTCCCGATGTACATATAAACTTTTGTCTTGCCTTTTTTCTTTCTGCACTGTGTAACGTGGTGTGGCAGTAGGATACAGGAAAGGGACAGTGTCCCATTAATCTCGAACTACGTTTCCTAAAGTAAACAATGTTCAGCGGGTATAAAGTTCAATCATAAGGTTTCAACTTTTTCTTTAAAAAAAGCACAGCACCGATGCGTCTTTTCGGAAAAAAAATTATGTAAGTGTCCAGGCAGCGGTAGAAGTTTGAGAGTGTTACACTTGTGATAGCAGAAACTTACTTTTAACTTGTGAAAAAGATGACTTCCAGTTGCAGGAAGCTCCATTTGCCGATTATGCCCACCATTACATCCTTGCAATTGGTCTGTTAGCACCATTTTATGAGTCGTCCACTAACGTCATTGAAGTAACTGTTGGAGAAATAGGTAGACTCGCTGTCCTATTCCTCCAACTGTCCTAAACCTCCAGACTCTCACCTACAGTTCGTGGCTATGTCTTCTTTTAAGGAGGTCTTCTAAAACAGAGAGAACTTTGGGTAAGATTTTTGTAGTCTTAAAGATATCGGAGGCAACAATGAGGGCTTCTACTCCGCCTACAAAGCCTACATAGCGATAACGCTGAATAGGAGCTAAAAAAATGAAAAGCAGAACAAGCCTCTGCTTCAATGTTCAGAAGTAATAATAATAAAAATTGGGCAAAAGCACAAAGTACATAGGAATGGGTGTTTCAGCTCCACCAACGTGAAACCTGAAGAGGGGATTTCCTTGATGAGCCCCACTAGGGGTACCAAGCCTAAAACCACCAACGCTGTTAGAAAACTGCATCGAAACGCAGCTCACCCTTAGGTGCTTCTTCTACTTCTTTTTTTCTTCTTTTTCCCTACATGCCCTGCTTTAGTTCCCTATGACTTGTATACTCTGTTTCAGTAGTTCTGTGCAGCACAGTGAAAGCATCAGTCCTTCTCGACCAATCAAGAGGGCGAGCACATCTAAATGTACCCTTCTGTGCCCTGTCGTTTGCAAGCGACGAGCGCTGCTAGCGGTGAGCTTGCACAGCATCGGAGTTTCCTCCCTTTGACAGAAATTGTGCACGACCATGTGCATCACAAGTCAAAGTTGTGCAGCAGCTTTTCTTGATCATGGCCCCTGTCACCGCAAAACCACGTGTTGGGTGCCAGCCACATCGGTGAGCCGTGTTGTCTGCATCTGCTGTGCAACACTTCGAGCTGTTTGCTTCTTGGTCTGCGTTTTTCACGGTGTACGAGGTCTGTTGGAAAAATATCCGACCATTGGTAAAAGGAAAAAAAACTGGCATAATTGGAGCCTTAAAGGCCCATTGCCCCTCAAGGTAGCCCCCTTGAGACTCCACACACTTCTCCCAGCAGTGCTTCCGTTGTTGGAAGCATTCTGAGAAAGCTTCTTTCGGAACAGAGTTTGGCTCAGCTTTCATCGCAGCCATAATGTCCTCCCTTGTCTGAAATAGCTCTCCTTTCAATGTTCTCTCGAGTTTGGGAAGTAGCCAGAAGTCGCAGGGGGCCATATAAGAAGAGTAAAGAACCTGTTGAACTACAGGAGTCTGACTTTTTGCCAAGTCTTAACCAAGTGTGAGGAATGTGCAGCAGCATTGTTGTGATGGATGCGGCAGTTTCCTGTTGACCCCAACTGAGGCCCCTTCCACCGCACATCACGTAGGCAGGCAACTGAGGACATCTCTGTAGTATTTTTTGGTAATTGTTTGGCCCTGTGGTGTGTACTCTTGGGGTACCACACCGCGGGAGTCAAAGAAAGCACTCAGCATTGCTTTGACGTTGCTGCGCACTTGGCGGGTTTTCTTTGGTCTTGGTGACGTGGAATGCTTCCACTGTGACGACTGGGATTAAGTTTCCGGGTCGTATCCGTACACCCAAGACTCATCCCTAGTCAATAATGGTGTTCATGAAATTATGGTCACTGTTTGTGAAATACAGCTTGTCCTGTGAGATTTCAGCACGAAGTTGCTCTTGCTCCACCGTGAGCAATTTCGACACGAATTTCACTGCAACTTTCTTCATGGCCAAATCTTCAGTCATAATGAAATTTGCAGAGAAAGTGCTGACGCCCACCTCTTCCGCAATTTCCTGGATAGTGACATGACGATGCCGCATCACCACAGCGTTCACTTCAGACATTTTGGCATATTGACAGCCAAGCGGAGCGTGGCTCCTTCTTCACTGATATGCGGCCATCTTTAAACAGGTTGTACCACTCCTTAAGCTGTTTGCGGCTCATAGCATCATCCTCGAAAGCTGTCTTGATCTTCCGAATGGTTACCACTTGGCTGTCGCCCAGCTTCTGGCAAAATTTGATGCAGTTGCGCTGCTCCAGTCACTCCGTCATTTTCCTTGCAATGAAAAACTGAAAAGAGCACTGCGCCCTACCTCACTCAAACGCTGCGTCCCAGGGACTCACGCTATTGGCAGGCGAGAAAAAATTGCACACGAAGATTCAAGGTCGGCTGATGCAAGCGCGCTTGTTTGAAATCCATCAGGTGCTTCCAAAAAAATTAAGGTCAGATATTTTTCTAATAGACCTCCTAAGTGCAGATGTTGTCCGCGTCATTGCCAGGCATGGTTCCAGCAGCGCCCCCCCCCCCCAATAGGACGTCTTCGTCTGCCGAAAAAGGGTAGCGTAAATGAAAATAACATGCCGTCAAGCTGGTGCCTGGACAAATAGCGCCGGCTATCGAGGATTAGAAGAAACTAGCAAAACTCGTCATGTATGCCCTCTGAGATTTGGGAAGTGTCCATTGCCACTCGCTAAGCCTACAACATTGATTATTCGAATGTGGCTCCGAATACTGTTTTCGAAGCTTAATGACATGAAACTAAAGCAAATGAAAGCATCACTTCATGGGAGCTTACAAATCACAGAGCACACAACAGCTAGTCAAGAGATTCGAGGGCGAGAGACAACTGGTTTTGGCAGTGCAACCATGTTTTTCTAGCCCAACGCCGGTTCCTTCGCGATGCTCGGGAGTCTGTGGCTGTGCCAACTGCATTAAAGATTTTAGACAATGGCTTACCAATTGTTTGTATTTTAGAGAACAGAACATAATGCGTATGAGGCACAGTTGCCTTATTTCTTCCGTCATGTGCCCATTATAACACAAACAAGCGAGAACTCTTTCTTCGGCATCATAGAGCCATGAAAATTGTTTTCTATGAAAAAAGGAGCAAAATGCCCTGGCAGGTGACCATTTCGAAACGCAGTGAAGGCTTCAAGCAAAAATGTTCGGACGAGACTGTTTGTAAAGATCACGAGGACACGCAGTGGGTTGTGAACATGGGCACCAAATCTCGCTTTGCAAGAATCTGTGCTCAAAGAGCATGTAGCCTTGCTGCATGAAACTCACAAAACAGAGTATAGAGAAGGGCATTATTGCTCCACTACCGCTGGCTCTTTATGGCGGCTAACTGCTACCATCTTCGCTTTTAGTGAACCGCGGTGAGTAGTGAAAGTTATCGATTTTTTGTGATGGACCATGACTTCGCAACCTACTGTGACAGGAGGTGCTGACAAGCCTAATTCCTACGGTGCTTCACACCTAAATTAGCAAGGCAAAAGATACAAACTAAGTGCAGAGTAGCAATAACCGACTTCAAGGTGAAAGTAGGAAAGAAGCAGAATGAGGACAGGCAATTAGCAACTGTGGGGTCAACTCTACAAATTGCAGAAGGTACATGTTAATGAAATTCCAAGACGAGAATTGCCTCTGAATAATAAATGCCTGCTCTTGAAATTTCAGTGTGCACGAATAGGAAAGAGATCTGTAAAAGCCTTAATGGAGAAGCTAAAAATGGAATATATTTCATACTCTGTGCTGACCTGAGCATCTTGATGCAATAACAGTCACTTCGATCCAAAAAGAAGAGGTTACCCTCTATATGCAATGCCTTGATGGCACGGGGTAAGGCAATAAAAAAATTTTTACAAGTTTGTTTTCTTTATAATTCGAGAAGTGTTTAGTGCCCTTTTCCACATTCATGTCTTATTTCTGTATGAAAAACAGTTTTTCTGAAAGCGAATTGTGTGTGAATCTGCCTTTTTTTTTCTAATGCACTCCATGCTTATCGTAAATTTTTGTGACACAATCTCTCGGCACAAAAACCAAAACACTTGTCTAGAATCAGAGACATACTATAGCAAACGGTCAGGCAACTATTGCATAGCCGATTTTTCACTAAGGACAGTTTAAAGCGTCCAAACATGCTGCCCATCTTTCCCCCCTGAAATGCAATTGAGTCGTTCAGTTACATTGTTTGGAGAGAAGCACAAAAATATATATATATCCTTTTCGGGCTTCATACACTAAGCATTGCAATGCTGTATTCTTTTCTTTCATTCATACATTGAAAGTATAATACAATATGATCTCATTAGGATTCATGCGGGGCTCCAAGATATTGGACTTGCTGAAAAAAGTTGACCACAGTACACAATATAGAGGTGCATGAAGGATCATAAAACGGGCAAGGTAAGTAAGATGACCGGCCAAAAAATGAACCAAATGACTTCAATAATGATTATACAACTGGGTGCTACAATATAAATTACTTGAACAGTGCGTATAGTGAAAAAATACTTCACAGGTGTTTCTTTACTTCAAGCTCAATTATCTCAAAACCATTTTTTTATTACACAGGTACTACTACTACTTATATTTTACAAGGTAACCCATTGATATACATAACCACTGTGTCAGAACTGAAAATATACAGAAAACAGTTTTTGTCTAACAAATTTCGAAATATGCAAATGAACCCAAAATTTAAGTGCTGATAGGAAGGATTCCACCAAAAAATAGTAATTTTTTTTATTTTAATAGGGCTAATGTAGTTTAAAGAGCATGAAACTTGGGAGAAAATATTTGAATTCATTGAATGTCTTTTTTAGTTATTGCAAAAACAGTTCCTAAACATTGTCAAAAATGCATGGGAAGGACCCTATGCCCAAAAAACTTCAAATATATCAGGAAAATGGAAGAACACTAATAATATATTAATTTACAGATTTACAGAAAAGAACACAATGAAGCACATCAGCTCAATTCTAGCCTTGTACAAAATATTTGCAGTGGTTTACAATGAGCCCAGCCCAACCGAACCGCAACACCGGAGGCTAGGTTCAGGAAGGTTTTTTTTTTTACGATTGCAAACATGTCAACAATCATGTAATTAAGAAATCTGTCGAGTACAACCTCTTCAGTTCTAGGTATCTCTAAATGTGCACCCTATCCCTATAGAACACACACTTGGGCAGAATAAAACCATAGCAACAAATTTCCATGTCGCTTTCAAAGACAAGTAACAACAGCTAGGCACATACCCTCCAAGAAGTGCTATCTGAATGTGCTTCCTAAACACTGCACTCAGCGACCAGCCTGGAAGTCCACCAGGAAGGCTGGAATCTGTCCAAATGTGTAGTGCAGTGAGTGCCTCAAGTGCTTTTAAATGGTCCCTCCAGGAAAGTCAATTAAGAAGGAATGATGAAATCTACCACAATTTGAAAGATCTGAATATTTAATATTACAAATCAAAAAGAAAGTCAGTGAGCCACATTATGATACAGGCAATGCTTTTCAAAAGGCCAAGAGTTTTAACCATTCAGTAGGGGGTGCACAATACATACATTATAGGAATATGACACTGCAATAGCCTTCATGCAAGTCATTTCCAACCACTTCTGGAACAATGGCCATTGCCAGACAGCTGGTTGATCTCTCAGACTTTTGCTTTTGTTGTCATTATGCTGATGTGCATACCTTTACATAGCCAGATAAAATGTTACTCCATTCAGAAACCAAACTACAAAGAACCAGGAGTCTGGCGATGTTTACTAAAGCTAATATCAGGGCAACGCAAATGTTCATCCCTTCCAGAAAAAGAAAAGTGGTGTCAGTGACTAGCAATAAGTTCAAATAACTAACAAAACAATTACATGAATTTGCAATCAGGGGCAGAGCAAGAAAGCAGCTTCACACAAGGGCATGAAGCTGCCTGTGTGATTATAAAAAAAGCCTTTAGATGCCACCGATGATACCGGTGCTTGCAACTATAGTGATTTCACTAGTATGTGCAGTCACATGATTGTAGTTGCTTACAAGCAGGTTGGTTACTGTAGGAAACTAGTTTCTCCGCCACATTTAATGAGACAGGAGCCACTATTTAAAGAAAAAGATGCAGAGTTTCACAAAAGCCCCAATGAAAACTGGTTGAAACCGTTGAAAAATAAAGCTTTCCCTTGTTGCTGTTACAAACAAGAACCTCCCACTTGCTGTTTATTGGGGGTGTGCAAATATCTAAAAAACGAGAGTAACAAAACAAACAGCACATACTTAAAACACCGAATATTTTTCAAATATGAAGCACCAATGGGAGGACCTAAACGAAATGTTAGAATAAAACAGACTCATTTTTCTTGTTTTAATAACTGAATTATCATGATGCATGCACCCCAAGCTGTTATTGACTATCAATGCTATACTGATTACCAGATGGTGTTTTTGTTTAAAGCTTGAGCACTGCAATAAGTGCTGTATTTAAACCTGCATTTGCAAAGTATATCAAAGGCTCTATGTAGTCACTGTTGTCCATTAAAAGCAACAAAAATGTTTCTTGGTTAAAGTCAGGAAAAATTTGTTTCAACTAAGTTTCAAATAAGATGTGAAGCTCGAAGGCTGTTTTGAAATGGTTGCCTCACTAGTGAGAGAACTACAGCAGGAGTATTTGATTGGTACTCCATTCTAAAATTTCCTACTTGCACACCTCCACTGTACATATACATATAGAACATTCAGTAAACACAGCTGATCGAGCATGCTGATATTACAGCAAATGAGTATTCGTTATGCATGAACCATTATTAAAACTTGTTGTTGGGCTAGTTGGTAACTCATGATAGTCCAAGTAATTTGGTGCAACTTGAAAATTTTTAGAAACATTCATGCTAGCTTCCACTCAAGAAACACCATACCCACAGCACTCACTACTAACTGTTCATTGGGCGTGACTGACCATCTTGTATGCCTACAGGATAACGTGCAGAAGCAATAGAAAACAAAGGTGTGCATGAGCAAAAGAATCAACGATCAATGCAAGAACCAGCCACCACCCAACAAAGTGACAGACAAAAAGGATATTGAAAGGAAAACAACAGATAAACCAGCCAGGAGCACTGACATCTTGCCTTGTGAAATAATATTTCCTTTTAATACAACCCCACGAATGGCTCGCTAACACAATGATCTTTATTTTATAAAATAAAATAAGCTTCCAATGAAAGACATGCAGATTATTTCAAGCTATTTCTGAAGACCTGCGTGTCTCAAAACCGTGGTTTCCGCCCACATGCCGCAAGATGTGCCTACTTATCCTCTTCTTTTCCAATTTTCCTGCACCCGCTCCTTTAGCCAGTTTCTCAGGCATCTTTTGGTTTGCCAGATATACACTTTTCCGCATGATGAAGTAATTGAGTATACAACCTCCATGGAGCACTTAAAAAAGGCCTTCCCGTGTTTTTTGGACAACCGCGTCTCTTGCGATTGCAAATGTGTGGGCGCAAACTGGCGCGTCTTTTCAGCGCCAAAAGACCAGCAACACACCATGTCCTGCAGCGGCCCCTTTAAGATTGTGGGAGGGTTTATGCACCTATGGCATCACTTGAGGCTTGGAGCCCAATGGATCCAGCTCCATTCTTTTGTGCTCCACATTTCAGCTTTTGCGTAAGTGACTCGGCGACTATGTTTATGACTGACAAAGGAAAGCTTGCCGCCAACAATCGGCTGATCTGATCATTTAAACCGGTGCACATGTGGTGTAGGCACGACTTTGTTAACGCAGACACTAGCAAAGTGAAGAAATCCCTCTCTCAACAATCTTAGAATGCGCAGAATTGAATGGCAACAGTCCCTTTCCCACAAGTATGGTAAAACCAACAAATGTGGTCACAGTCCCACAGTAGCTTGAGGTATAAGAACTGTACACAGGTCTCAATGGGTACCTCAGGTGTGGATCTTAGTCTGCATCCATATTCTATAAAAACACTAAGACCTGCACAGCGAGAATGCTCAACTTCACCACTATTGTCATTGGTGAAATTTACACACGCACTTGTCAAATTAAAACCATAAACACAGTCTCCAAGTCACTTATGCAAAAGCTAAAACGTAGAACACAAAGGGATATAGCTACTTGGCTTCCATCGGGCTCCAGGCCTCAAGTGATGCCGTACCTGCATAAGTTCTCTTACAATCTTAAGATGGTCGCTGCAAGACGTGGTGTGCCTCTGGACTTCTGGCACTGAAAAAGCTCGCCAGTTTGTGCCTGAGCATTTTTAATCGCAAGAAAGAGACACAGTCGCCGAAAAAACATGAGAAGGCCTTTCTTAAGTGCTTCATGGAGTTGTATACTAAATTACTTTATCATGCGGGAACGTGTACATCAGACAAACTAAAAGACGCCTAAACGACTGGTCAAGAAAGCATGTGGGTTACGAAAAAAAAAAAAGAGGATAAGTACGTGTACGTTGTGGCACATGTTGCGGCATGTCTATGTGAATCACAGTTTAGAGACACGCAGGCTCTCGGAAGAAGCTTGAAATCATCTGCACGTCTTTCATTGCAAGCATATTTTATTTTAAAAAATAAGGATCATTGTGTTAGCGAAGCATCCCTGGCGTTGTATCGAAAGGAAATATTTTTTCTCAAGGCAAGATGCCAGTGCCCCTAGCTGGTTTATCTGTTATTTTCCTTTTCCCTATTTTCTCACTTTATTGGCTGGTGGCAGGTTCTTCCATCGACTGCTGATTCTTTGCTCATGCACACATTTGTTTTCCGTTGCTTCTGCGCATCATCCTGCAGGCATATAAAATGGTCAGTCCCGTACAATAAGCAGTTGGTTGTGAGTGCTGTGAGTGGTGTGTGTTTCTTGAGGGAAAGCTACCGTGAATGTTTCTAGAGATTCTTAAGTTGCGCTAAATTACTTACAATAATACATGAACTATATTGCCGAGCACTTCGCACCGCCAACGCTTTCATTCATGCAGGGCGGGAAAACTGAGGCGGTCTTTCTAGTGATTTACTCTAGCTGTGCGTCATCGCCAATTCGAAGTAATAATAGCCACTAAACCTTAGTAACAAGCGCCGACTCATTACAAAGGACTTGATGCATGTGATACTCACTTGACGTATTTTTGTTCATTCCAAGATGACACCACAGTGGGGAACAGGCTGTTCAACGAACAGCAATCGCATAATATAATGACCTGATATGCTTGGCAGCTCTCTGAAACGATAAAATGTAATTAGAGCAAATTAGTTAACATGTATATTGCTATCTACACTTCACCGAAAGACCGCCAAACAAGTTGCTGGATGAGTGTAGAGGTTGTCCAGAGTAGCCGGCGAAAGGGTTTTCAGGTACGCGTGCAAGTCTCTGCACTTCAAGCCACCTGAGATTAAGCTTATCGCGATCACATACAGCAGTCAGCTGTGCAAGTGCAGCAGTCAGCTCAATTTGTGCATAACTGCACGTAATGCATCACCGGCGACTGAAATCGATAGGGATCATCCCCAGCCGCTTGCATAAACACGTTTCAGAGAAATGAACGGCGCCATAACCGGCCTACGCGCCACTGCACGCACCAAGGAGGATACATAAAACTTGTTGGAGTGATGATGATGATGATGAACCTTCAGCCATAGTCTTCTTCTTTCTCTATGCTTCAGCTTTGCTGGCACTCGCCCACTAAGGGGGATCGGCCAAGAACCGGACGGCAGGATCATCAAGTGTGCTAAGTCAGGCATTCAGGTAGTCTCGTAGCCGTAAATAATAACAATAGGCTAACAGGGTAATCTCTTTGTTGCCCTTATGTACTCGCACACAGCAGAGAAAACCTCCCTGTAGCTATAACCTAATGTAATCCCTCCGAAGGATAAAATTAGTTCCACGTTTATTTTTAAACATAGCTTCTCAATTGGTTCGACCAGGTACCTTTTCCTTTGATAAGCATAACGTCGACAGGATAAAAAGAAATGATCTATTGATTCCGATTCCTTGCAAAAGAGACACAACGGAGATGCTGTTAGTCCAGCTTTATGTAGGTAGTAATTCAGATGCGGAATTCTGCATCGTAATCTGGTGATTGTAATTTCTAACTGCCGAGATAAACACCACTGTTTGTTCCAGCAATATCTTAGATGTACGAAGTCTCCGACTTTATCCAATGATAATTTTTTTTATTTCTTTGAATAAACAAGCATTTCTATATTCGAGTGCTGTTACGTAGGCGAAATTAGGTAAAATAGGTAAGAGTGGTCCGCCTAAAGATGCTTTGGCTAACGTGAAGCCGCCTATGCGCCGCTACGGGAGAGAGTGAAGCCGCGCCGAGCGTGCTGCGGCCATGTTGCCAGTGGCAGAAAAGAGCCGAGCGCTGCAAATTTATGCTTCATCGCGCTGCGGGTGAAGTGACTCGTGTGTTTATAAAGCAACGAAAACAAGTAATTCTGGTTGTAAATGTTTATTGCGACTTGTACGCAGCCAAGTGGCATGTAGAGAACTCAATTAAAGCGCATATGCATCGAATAGCGATGCCTAAAGCAAACACATAATCGAAAACATAGGTGCCCTACAGGTGGTTGAAAATTATTGCCCTTGTCAAAAGTGGTCCCACCTTACTTTTCACCGATTCTCGTTTTTTTTTTTCCTTTGTCATGTGTTGTATCCTCACTTTTACGTATTGTTCCGTGATTTGCCTGCACAAACTGTAAACCTGTAGATATCCTATTTGTGACTTCCAGTTTCTAGTGCTCAGAGTTTACAGCCGACCATATTTATACAGACAGCATGCTAGGCAAGAGATAAGCTCTGTTATGTTGTCATTTTTCAACTTGTTGAAGCTGAAGCAATCGGTGAATGCATCTTCCATAGATTTGACCAGGTCTGTCAAGGACTCGGACGGGTACAGAAGGCATGATTCTACTGGAAGCAAGCTGGAATTCTCAGAGTGAAGCATCAACCTGCAATATTCGTTGCACTTTGTCTTTTTAACAATCTTCCGGGACACACACCCACTGACGTAATAAGTGATCCGGGAGTCACTTTTGCGTCCAATGAGATCAGTGTGGTCAGGGAGGGCTTCAAAAGCATCATTTCATAAACCTCATGGAAGCGCCCCACATATAGCAGCTCATATCCAGCTTATTCTGCGATTTTATTGAATTATTGTGGATGCTCGGACATAGAAGGCTGTTCAGAACTCCAGAAGGTATGTTTCCACTGGAGGGTGACTGTGCCAAACTGTAAAAACTGAGGCAATTCACAGAGATAAAAAATTGTGTCAGCGAAGGGTGATCATTCGATCCAGACATTTGCTTCAGAATTCCAAAAAGATTTTAAGCGCGTCTTGGCAGAGGTGAAACGTCATCAAGCATTTATAGCCCAAGGTTTTCGTGATATAGTGCCGGATGGAAAGGGTGCTGGTTAGAGTGATGCGGAGTTCTTCGGCAGTTGATTCACTCAGGAACCAACCCTTCTTAGGTACAGCTTTTTCCCAAGTTGCTCAGAACCTGTTGATGACATGCTTGTAGCTACGGATGATGAATCTTTCGTCGAAATGAGCTTCACACACAATGCAGTTCTTTTCTTGTTTGTCGGCGCGAGGAATCGCACGCTCCCAGGCCTTGCGCCGTTCATTGTCGGCGGGAGCAGCGAAGAGAGACGCTTTCTTCCCTTGTTTGCGGGCCGAAACATATCCCGCATTGCATCCAAATGCCAAGCAGTGTGTTTGTTGTTTACCCATCATTGTCGCATGGTCACATTGGCACGTATTGATCCCGAACAAGTCCAAATAAGCAAAGCGCCAACGTTGCGACTTGCGAGCACACGAGCAAGTCACAAGTCGAGGTAGTGTTAGAGTGTACTAGAACCTATTCTAGTACACTCTAGTAGTGTGTAGGTGTTCTGTGAGCAAGCGACTAAAGGTGCCGCGCTAGCGGCTGGCGAGCGCTCTCGACCGATCACGGAGGCGACTTGCGCGCCGCTCGGCCACATAACATCACAGGCGCAGCCGCGACGATGCTGACACCTTTATTTCTAGCCACTATACTACGGCATCTATGACCAGGTGAATACAATATAGTACATAATTATAGCGAAAGCCTTTATGTCTGCCTTGAGCGATTCGGGTGGCCTCGAGCAAAATGCTTAGGTCGCTGCAAAATCTCGCGCACACAAAAACGCCAAGTACGTGCTCACTTTATACCTGCGAAAGCGTGAAGCCGAAGTAATATGTTGTAGGACACGAGAGTACTTCTCTTATAATTTGTAATTCATGCAAACTGTTCGGACCGATAAAAATTTTCATCGTTACTGACGCCAGCGCCACTGCAAGCTTCTTACAGTATGAAATAAACATAGGTGGGATCATGACCTACTACACTCCTGACCTGTTCAGATAGCGGGGTTCCTATGGGAGCGCGTGTCCCCGCTCTCGTTCAATCGCTCGCCGTAGGTGGCGCTACCTATAACCTGTTCGTCTGCTACTGTGCGGCCGGCAGGAGGGCGACGGACTGATACCATGCGTCTGCTTCTGTGACAAACTGCCTATACGTGTGATTGTTTTTTGCTGAAAAGGCTAACGTGTGCTATGTGTTACATTTTAGTAGTTAGGCTATACTGGTTGATTGACTTCTAAAGCTGTATATTTGCGTAGAAATGTCTTGCTGCATGGTTGTTTTTGCCATTCCAGCCTAAAAAAACTTCAATTTAGTATTCATAAAGCTTTTGACTAATAATGTACTCATTGGTAATAGCCTTCGGGAAGGGTGCTCGAACCCCTCGCAACCCACCGCTACGCATTTTTACATAATTTACAGATTTCGTATATTTACTTTTTTCTTGTGTGCTATATTTAAATTTCTTGGCACTATTTGTGGAGCCTGCCATATTAGCCGCGGTACTTTAAAAAAGCTTTCATGTTTTTTAGCTCAGTGAATTAGCATAACACACGGAAATAAGTTTACTAAAGCACCCTGGTGCTTCTTGCTAGCTTGCAACTCGTTCTGAATTGAAACGACTCTCAAAAACACAAGACTCACCTTTTCTTCCAATTGCCTCGATCCATTCTTCCCGTATGTCTGTGGCAGGAAACTCGTGAAAACTTACTTTACTTTGTTTGCCTTGTTCCGATTTGCAATATGGCACGCAGCAATACACCATACTTACATTTGAGGTGTCAGCTCATCTAAAAAAAAAAAAACTGCACGCGGCCACTATTAGAGCTGACTACTGCAGCTATCTGCCGTCTGCAAGTTTCTGCACACGACCTACTGTGTTTCTGCGTATCTTCTGCAATTTGTGTATGCGTATCGTCTGGAACCATCGTGATTCAGTGTGAACAATGAATGCCTAACAATAGTTTTTTTTATCTCGTTGGACTACGTTTTCATTCAAGAAATATTTTCATAATAAATTTTCCTTCATTTGTAGAAAAGTTCCCGTCTGCTTGCCACTGTGACCCTTTGTGTGCTTTTTTTACGGTTCTATTTCTGCTTCAAACGTCCACACGAATGCAGCCAACTCTGACGAGGAATCATATCGCTTTATTTGCCATATTTTACACATTCATACACAATTCATGCACAATAAGAACGATTTGCACTGCCACAGCGATGGCTGAAGCAGACGACAGCGAACAGGTGCTGCCTAGCGCCACGCCGCTCGTAGGTGACGGCCCTAGCGGCAGAAGGTATGAACTAGAACGTGGGCGCTGGAAGAGGTGCTCTCTGGGCAGGTCAGGAGTGTAGTAGGTCATGGGTGGGATGTCTGAAAAATAATTAAATCAGAACTTGTGTTAGTTAATTATTTGAATGTCTTGCGATTGTAAATAAAGTGCATGACTTGTGTTTAAAACAAAAACTTGTTTTGGAATAGCGCTAGCTGTTATTTTAATTCGGGGTTTCAGGCTAACGCTTCTATTTCTCCATTAGTCACCAGAACCTCTCGTAGGCAACAGTAAGCATCCGTCCATGACGATACTATTATTTCGTGTTGTGCGGTTACGATTAGCTACGTCGCCCATAACTCGTGTATCGCGGCAAATAAGTTTCTTTTGTAAGCCGGCAAACACCAAACCGTAGCCACGGTGAGATTTGACCTTACCCGCCGGAGGGCTTAGAAACAGAGCCGGGGCACCCAAAATCTGTATGTAGTTTAGCGTAACGTTACCGTCAACCTGCCTGCCCTAGATAAGGCTTAGCTCGCATGTTTCGTGAATGCTCGCAGGGGGCCGTTCTCCTTTACCATGATTACTCGCGGAGCGCTCCTGGCATTTTTTTTGAGCTGGAGTATTTTTCGTGAGCGTGTTTCCGTGATTGTCCGATTGCACGTTCTGTCTAGCGAAGCTGGAAACGCAGCGATTTGACCGCGACGCGCCTTCTCGAGAACTGCGTGACGTTCACGGCATTTGTTTATTTTTTTTTTCTAGAGTGCCTGCCCGTTTCGTCGCGCACCCGCAAATCGATGTATCGCTAGCGTTTTCCTGCGGCTTCCAGATGCATTTTCCCAGCCTCTCAAATTTGCTACATAGTTGCGGTTGGCGAACGAACATGAGCGCTCTTATCTGAACTTTGCCTATTTTGCCACGGTCATTTTGTGCCATCTTGTACCTAGCTTGCATCGCACTTGTTCTCCAGTGAAACAGCTGCGTCTGTTTGTAAACTGCTGTTTTTTATTTTCAAGTTTGCGGCACAGTTGCAGTCTCTGAGCGAGCATAAGCGTTCGTTCCAGTGGTTTAGTTTTTTTTTTCTTTTTTTTTTCGGTCGACTTGTACAATCTTGCAAATTCGTCCGCATCGCGTATGTTGTATGAAGAAGCGGTGTCTGCTCTAAACCAGCTATTTTAGGTGTTAGACCGTGCTTTGCTCTTTTGTTGATATCTTCACTTAAGCTTTAAAGGACAAGTGTACGAAGACCTTAGGGCAGGCTTTTCATGTGTTTGTATTTCTAGTTTCAATATGAAAGTGCCGTCAAGTATGCACCAAACTAGCCCACCAACAAGTCCTTCTTGAACTGTTTGTTTCGTCGAGACGAAGCTAGGGTTTTGCAGTGCTGACATCCCAAACGTGTTGCGTTCTCGCGTTTATTTCAGGAGTACCGACTAGTACTTCGGGAAGACATGGCTTTCCCACCCCACAGACCGCCACTGGGCATGCCCGGCATGCCGATGCCACCCATGTTGGCACCGCCATACACAATGCCGCACATGGGTAAGAATCGCACTCTCATGTTGAGTATATCATTGACTGTTTTGTGCGGAAACTGACCCGCCCTGCATGCCCCTCATCCCTCGAAACTGTTGTCAACTTCTGTGGGCAAATGTAAGGTTCGCGCTCATAACAAATCTCCTAGCATAATTAAATTTGTCTCCATCTCCTCTGGCTGGTAGTAGTACTACTACTCTGGTTGGGTATCTAATGTGAATGAGGCTTACCTTGAATTATGGGTGGTCATTCGTCAGACCAAGAGTATGGCTCAATTGAGGTACGTAGGTCACGTGGTGTTGCTTTACTCGACGCCTTGACGCAGTTTTCAGTCCCCATCATTGGTCAGGGTGATGGTCTGCTGCTGTGCAACAGTAGTGTCGCCTGCCAAGAGCCATGTATGATATGGACGATTTTACATGAAGCATAGGCACCCCCTTCTTGGACTAATAAATTTCATGAAACTGCAAATGTATCGACCCAACTGCTTTTATGCTTTTGTGCCTACGTTAGCACTGTTCGTGGAATTTCGGTATAAGAGCAAGCCTCATAAGCGTGAAAATGCACGCGACAGCGACGAGTGATGCTATAAGCGACAAAACAGGGCGTTCGCGCGACGTGTCGCGTGCTCGTTTTCGCGCGATCGCTCGATTCTCCAGGTTTGGAAACCGTCGCTCATCGCCCAGAAGTGCTGGGCTCAAGCAGCCAATAGCGAAAAAACGGAAAATACAAAGACTACGTAGGTACACGTGACCCTGCCCGAGTCACGTATGCGCAACAAGAAATAACGCAATGTTTACGCATGTGCATATAAAAAAAGTGCTCATAAACACTTTCCGTTCCATTACACAACAATATATCTTATTTTTAAATTGCATACCGCTCACTACGCGTTTTTTTTTCTTTTTTTGTGCGAGTAGACGGCCTCATGCCAGCAACAGTGGAGTTCGCTCGCCGAAGCCGTCGCGTGGATGAGGTTTGCCTGCTCTAGCGACTGATTGCGCGAAGACGATCTACGTTGCGTCGCTCGTCGCTGTCGCGTGCATTTTCGCGCTTATGAGGTTTGGCGCATATTCAGGGATATGTTGGTCGGGGGGGGGGGGGGTACTTGTTATACACGCTTTGCATGAGATATGTTAAAACGTTACACATCAAACATCTCAGTGAATAGTGAGGCGTTACACATACCATTTTCTTTTGAATTTAATAGTACTAAGAGACTAAGCAAAAGCTTGTCTTCGTTTTTTAGGGGGGGGGGGGGGGGGGGGAATGCTGAAACCTATAACAGCTTTGTGCAGTGCTTACTAGAGATTGTAACTGTCATCACCAGGCTTCCTCCAGTTGTAAATTTTTGTAAAAAATGTAGATACAGAATTACCAGAAAATAACCTGTAAGTTTAACCTAGATTGTCGGTTAGAGGAGAAGAGAGAGAAGTAAATGTTTATTTTGAAAACAGTGTCTTGAGCTATGCCCGGTGTCATCCTGAGGTGGGAGGGCTTCTTAGTCCAAGAACCCTCTGGCTTCTACTGCCCTCTTGGCCCTGGCGACGAGTTTCTGTTGGTCTTCCAGGTTCTCGGGGGCGAGCTTTCGCCTCCCACGTTTTGGTTAGGTCTTCGTTCGTCCATCCTGCTTCGTTATCAGTCGTGTGTTGTTGCAGATTACGTCTGGCAATACACTGGCATGCAAGAAGCAAGTGCGCCAGGGTGTCTGGTACGTTGCAAAGCGGACAAATAGAGCTATATCTCATTGGGTAGAGATGGTGCATTAGGGCCCCATGTGCGTATGTGTTGCTTTGCAGGCGTCTCAGTATCACGCTTTCCTCTTTTGTCGGTTTTGGGTGTGGTGAAGGGTATACTCGTCACTCTAGCCTGTAATGCTGGAGTAACGACGAATGGGCGTTTTGAACAACCTCCGTCTCTTTTACGACGGGTCGAATGTCCTGTGGGCAGGGGGCAGCCCGGCTGACGTGCTCACGGGCAGCGGCGTGGGTCGCTTCATTTCGCTGCAGACCCTCGTGACCTGGCAGCCATAATACACAAGTGTATGGGAGTGGAGTGCTTCACCGCTTCAAAATAATGATGGCGTTGGCTGACATACGGCCCTTAGGAAAATTCCTCCAAGCAGCTTGCGAGCCGGTGAAGATCACAGCAGCGTCTGTACATGCGGTGGTTGCGAGAGCGATTGTCGATTTTTCCGCTGCGTCTGAATTGAGTGCGTTGACCGTGGCCGACGCTAATTCTAGGCCTTGAGAATCTACGACGCTGACAGCGTACGGGTTTCTATGCGGATACTTAGCCGCGCCAGTGTAGCGGGCGTCCGGGTCTTGCTTGAACTTTTGTTGAATAGCGTCAGCTCTAGCCTTGCGTCCACTTTTGTGGAAAGTTGGATGCATGTTGCATGGAATAGGCGTGATAGGCGGCAACTCTCTAACGTACAGCGGGATGCGCTTTCTCCGGTCTGCATCGGCGATGAACGTGTCGCTGTAGTTGAGGTACGGGAGCACCGACCCCCTTGTGGGTGTCAGCTTGAGCCTCTCCAGCTGGCTGTTCTTATGCGCTTCAGCGAGCTCTTTTCACGTGTTGTGGACGCCCATCTTTAGGAGACGTGTGATAGAAGCCATTGGAAGAAGTCCCAGGGCTACTTCAGCTGTTTTCAAATTCAGGTACGGCGTGTCGTACGTAATGCGGCTGGTGAACAGAGCTTGCATTATACGTAGCGTGTCAGGCTCTTTGAGTCCGTTTCGTTGGTTCATTCACGATCCTCTTGACGAGGTGCATGAGTTGTGATAGTGTCCGTTCTCGGTAGGGTGGCAGCTCCCGATCTATTCTTGTAGATGTGAACTCCAAGCACTAGCAGAGTCTCAACTTTTGGAATTAATGTCCCATTCAGTGTTACACTAGGTTCGGGCTTGTCGTATATAGGGGGTCTGCCTCTTGTTTTCGCTTTGAGGACGAGGTGCTCAAAGCAGAGACCGCAGTTTCAAAGGTACCGTTTGGTGGTATCTACGGCGGTTTGTAGGCAGGTCTCTCGTCTACCAGTGTTCGAAGCCCTGGTCCAAAGTGTGATGTCATCAGCATAGATCGAGTGCCGTAAATCTGGTATTTTGTCCAGAATTCTTGGCAGATTGATCATGGCCACATTGAAAAGTAGCGGCGAGATGACTGAACCCTGTGGCGTGCCTTTTCGCTTAGAGGAGTTTAATAAATTTAAAATAGTATAGCTGATGTGCGACTTAAACAATTCGCTATACATAGTGTTCATGTGATGTCACTTCCGCCGTTGTCGCCATCTCCCGCGATGCCTGGGTACCTCCCTGGGTACCTACAGCAGTTCCCGTGCTGCAGCGCAGTTTGTGGGGGGCTCGTTATCTGTTGCTGTGTACTATGTTGAAAGGGAAGCATTGTGTTTTTTGTTGTCGTACTTTAACGAGCTCATCGGATCAGGAAGGCCTCGTTTGTTCACTCGATGCAAGACTAGAAAATCAAGAGGTGCGACACGTATACCAGCCACCGCGTACACCGGCTGCCCGCCACGGCCTACGAGGGCCCGTTATCTCGCTTTCACTACAAACACCACAAATTGCGTGGCCCAAGAACAAGTGAAAGCCCAAAGTCTCTCGAGCCCCAATTTTAAGAGTGGATGAGCGAAGCGCAGCAGCTCCCATCGAAAATGAGTCGTGCAGGGCTAGACAAGTTTACAAGAGATATAATGTTAATATTAATATATTGCTGCGGCCCACGCCACCAAAGTAGCAGCATCCCCCCCCCCCCCCCTAAGTGTTTTAAACAGTGCTGATGTTGAGCCTATTTGATTTAAATTTGTGGAAACAGCCGAGGAAAATATTCTGCGAGGCAGATAGACTTTGCATGGTGTGTGCCGTGGTAATGCCGGTCATCACTATTTTTTTTTCGTGTATGTTTTGACATCTTTTTCACCTTGTATTTTACCTTTTTTGTACGCTAATGTACAGTGGAGTCCCTGAAAATGATAAAGATTGTGTTAGAGAATTAACCAATTTTTCAGAATCCTGCCCCCCCCCCCCCCCCAACTTGAACCAATTGGCTATACTTCTAAGAAAACTAATATTGTTTCACATCCATTTTCACAGTTTGTCTCAATGCAATACCCGAATTTCCGCGATAACCATCACGATTTTAACCGCCTCGCTGACACGCTGATGGTGCTTGCAATGTTCGCGGACAAGTTTGTATGTATAGTATCTTGGTAAGCTATCTCTGTTTGCAGGTAAGTGCTTGGCTATGGCACTTACCCGGAATGAAGTTACACCTTAAGACGCAAATATCACCGAGTTTCTTCGAGTAGTTTTTTTTGTTAATCCGCGCCAGCCAAACAAGCCGGTACTTTTCGGAAAATCGCAATGTGCGTTCTCAATTTTGGGTAACAACTTTCGGCGAAGAAACACCCCGAAGCTCTGCTCCCTCTTCGGGGACTACTAAATCAACTTGCCTCACTAGCAGCCCTCAAACTTGCATCATGAGGCAGAACTAAATGGGCGCAAGCACGAGGAGACAACGCGGCAGCGGTAGGCGACGGAGTCGGTAGGTACCCGGGCATGTTGGTGGTGCATTTCAGAAGTGACGAAGGGGTGCTGCGTGACGCACGTGCACACTATGTATATTGCCCACACGTACCTGTAGACAAGGAATACATTTGGCTCACTGTCATTTGACCTGAAGTGGAAACGCATGTCGCTGTTGTGCGAAATACAGATTTATGTAATCGACACTTCGTATCCACCTGTGGAGTTGTGAAACTCTGCTACGAATGACATGTACGTTATTGGCTGTTTCAAAGACTTCTGCCTTTATTTTTTCGCTGTGCCGTTATTTACGATTTTGCACGCAAGGCCGTATATTAGAGATGCAAATTACTAGTATTACTGCAACAATTTCCAACGCTGTAATTCCAAGGCAAATTCTTTTTACAGGCATTTACTCATATGTTTCTTCAAAGAATTTTGTCTTCGTCAACTAATTGTATCAACAGCTGGCATTTAAAAAATTCCCCGCTTGGAAGAGCAGTATGAGGCGTTGCTGCGATGGAAGCAACGCTTGCGAAACTCTAAGTTCGTTTTCTTTGCATGTCATCACTAATGACACGTTATCACCAAGATTGGATGGTCGTGAAGTGTCATGTGGTGCATTATTGTCGTGCAAAAGAAATAATGACTGATTGGTATTGAGTCCATTGCACTGAAGAAGCTCCGACATCCCTGTTGGTATTCAGAGCGGTTAAACAGACAAGAAATGAAAGACAAGAGACGAGCCCTTGTCTTTTTGTTTCTTGTCTGTTTACATGCCCTAAATACCACCATGTTAAAGTACATACTCGCCCAAATTTCAGTGCTTTTAAAGACATCACTGTTGCCCACTTATTATGAAGCATAATCTGGCACTGCTGTTGCGAACAAACCTTGTCGTTTGTTTCTTTTACTGTTCCTGATGTCGTTGTGTCCCTTTTGCCCTGCTGCTATGGCAGACGACGTAATGAATAATAACTTGGGTCAGTAGCCACCGGCAACATTTTTGCATGCTGTTTTTCTTCTCTCGCCACTTATTTTTTTATGCTGTGTCATGCACTGTGTGTAGTCTCAAGTGTGTTCTCCACAAGTTATACGTGTTTGTTGAATGCTTTAGCTTTTGTTTATTACCTTTATTGCATGTCTGCCCGAGAGCTTTGGGTTTTTCTGTTTTAGAAAGAAATGATCTTATTGCCAAAGAGCACATTAGGCAAGCGCTCTCAAATTATGACAGGTAGATTGCCACTATCCCTCAAGAGAAAGGTATATAACAGCTGTATCTTGCCGGTACTTAGCTACGGAGCAGAAACCTGGAGACTTACAAAGAGGGTTCAGCTTAAATTGAGGACGACGCAGCGAGCAATGGAAAGAAAAATGGTAGGTGTAACTTTAAGAGACAAGAAGAGAGCAGAGTGGATTAGGGAACAAATGGGGGTTAAGGATATCATAGCTGAAATCAAGAAGAAGAAATGGACATGGGCCAGGCATGTAGCGCGTAGACAGGATAACCGCTGGTCGTTAAGGGTAACTAACTGGATTCCCAGAGAAGGGAAGCGGGTTAGGGGGAGACAGAAGGTTAGGTGGGCAGACGAGATTAAGAAGTTTGCGGGTATAAATTGGCAGCAGCAAGCACAGGACCGGGTTAACTGGCGGAACATGGGAGAGGCCTTTGTCCTGCAGTGGACGTAGTCAGGCTGATGATGATGATGATCTTATTGCGGTGGTTTGGTTTGAGTGCCGCATATATGCTTCATGTGTGTTTCGTGCTGGTTTGTCAATGCATTAGTATTGCTGTGGTGTTAGGTTAGCAGCGGTAGTAGTACCTTGTAGTAGTACTGTTATTACATCAATAAATGCAGTAAATGCATAGGAAAAATAACCGATAGTCGGTTTGAGCAGTGCAGTGGGTAGCAAAGTATGATAAATTTGCCAATATAAAATGAAGCCAGCTTGCGCAAGACTTGGGTAAATTGAAACTTGTTGGGTGAGCCTTTGGTCCAGTGGTCATATTCTGAGACGATCTGCTTTTTGTGACTCATCGTCTCGAGTGTTGGAGGATTGAATGTTTTTCGTGAAGTGTAATCTCTCAGACCCAGTAATTGATTGCTTTTCACTAAGAGATAATCCAATGATTGAGGCAGCTGCTTGTGCACCTCTGTTTAAACAACCGATTCGTGCACTAAAAGCGGCATCTCCAAAAGCGATCATCTCCAAATGGATTGTCTGCAGCGGAGGGAAGGCTGATAACTTTACCCGAAACTGATAATGCAGCTTTGCTCTTGACTGGTTTCAATACGGCCACATTTTTTATTTTAGCGTGTGTTTATGCATGCTTAATTTGTTTATGCATGGCTTTCGGTTTTTGCTAGATAGTGAAACATCGCTGCACATTACCACTTGTCTGTTCATTTTCTTACATCTGCATGCTTGCTGGTTTTGCTGTGTGCTTTCAATGTACGTTCCCTAAAGCCGACCAGTGTGAGCGGTGCTTTTAAGCGATGCACCTGCCATTTCTAGATAACAGGAATCTGAGTCTCTTATAATGTGATGTGGTCGGGAGACATACAAGTGGAAAGAAGCCCCCCCCTTTTTTTTTTCTTGTCTGTCTTGCGTGGTCACGCCCCATGAAGCCTGACAACACCGATTTGGAAGCTGCACATGTTTGTATTCTTTCTGTACATTAGTGGCATATGAGTGCAATTGATAAGAGTGCCTTTGCAGATTGTGCTTGCAGTGTAGCTTTGGCTAAGCTTCTTTCTTGTAGCCCAATAAAGCTCAGCAGCAGAAATAAATTTTGTAGCAAAAATATAACTCCTGGTGTCACACGCTTTAGCTTTGGTGAGACACGTCCAGATGCGTTTGCTTAAGTTTGCTTAAAAGGCTAGTAAACAATTCAGAGGTTCAAAAACTAGAGAAATATGAGGACTTATGTGAACGTGTTGCTGTAAAAATTTTGCGAATGCATGCTATATTAAGGAAGTTACAGGTGTTAGCACAGCTGTTTTGGCTGCTTTCACATTTTTGCGCGGCCTCGTTACCCTTCTTCCTAACAGGGAGGGAAAGGTGCAGCATTTTGTTGTACTGGTTAAGACCAATCGACGAGTTGCATGCTACGTCAAGTCGCTGGTTGGCAACCTTGCACCACTGCGCATGAAAGGATTGGTCAGGCGTAGGAAAGGAGCACGAGAATTGTTTTTCTATATGGTAGCTCTGCATGACGTGCAGCGCTGTAATAGTATTTGAAAAACGTGATCACCGTGGTCTACTCTACGAATTGCCAAGCTTCTTTAGGGGTGGCAAAAAAAAAATAGTTGGAGCCTGTTGATTGATTTTTGAATGCGACCAGTGTGGTACACTCAAACCTCATTATAACGAAGTTACATCTGAAGCAAAAATAATATAGTTATATTGTCACGATTTATCTCGGGAGCGCTTGCAGCGGATGGAGTTGAAAGAGACACGTGAGTCGGCAGTAACGCGGCAAACCCATCTTAATATCAAACAAACAAACTGGCGAAAATCTGAGCAAACGCTTAAACTGCAAAAGAAAAAACACACACACAATAACAAGTGAAACCAGAACAAACTTCAATTCGTGTCACATTCAATCCTTAGCCCTAATCTCTCTCTAGCCAAAATGGCATTTCGGCAACAAAGCGTTCTTACACAGTTCATCCCGTTGTTCTGTCATTGACGTCCTCCTCAAGCTTCTACAATCATTATCGGTAGTTTCCGCCCAATGTGCCATTTCTCTTCATTGCCGGTGTCCCGGTCTTATCCGTCATCTTTGGCTCGCTTGGTCAAACCCGACTCGTCAATGGCCTCATTGATGACTTCCTCTGATGACTGGTATGGGCCGCATTCGTTCTGGCTTGAAGTGGAAGAGCTGTACTCCCCCCAGGAACTGCAGTGCCAGGTTGCGGCAAGTCCAGGCAGCCTCACTCAGGACCTCTGAGGTCGGCTGGGGCTTTCATCACTGTAGAGACTCTGACCTTCCTGACCTTCGCAGTGCGAAGCTCCACAGCACAGTGACGGCTTATCCTCCGGGATTCCTATTACTGCTCGGATCCCGTGCCACGAGCCTTCTTGTCCAATCTCGTACGTGGATGTGGCACGCATTCGCACCATTGGGGGGTCTCGCGCGTGAGTGCTGCATTCCAGTACATGGCACGTGCCTCGTGCCCTCTTACTCATGACATATATCAAAAATTTGTTATAAGGGTATATTCCTAGCACTGGGTCTATTGCTAGACCATTCTTAATTTAATTCATGATAACCATTTCATTATATCCGCATTTGTTGTATCAAGGTTTGAATGTATCTGCCGCGTGGTCACGACAGTCCTACTTGTATGATCTCCTGCAACCAGGTTATATATAGTAGATCCACCGCAGTTCTCTAGTTTGTCTAATATGTCGTAAAGAAACTGCTACAGAACTCCACCAGATCTTCGAGTAAATATCGCCTTGCATTGGTCATTATGGTTCATCACAAGCTAATAGGAATTGTTGGCAGCTTTCAGAACCGTGTGGTGCCACGACTACAAATGCGTTTCAGAGGAGTGTAAGGGATAGCGTAGGGTTCGGCATTATAGCAATTACAGCTAGCTGGGCAGTAGCACTCCAATTCCAATTGGGCCGATTACTATTAAAAGTGACCGTGTAACACCACCGTATTAGGTCGTGTTGAGAGAAGTCAAAACTGATTGGCTAGAAAGACTGAACTGCCTAAGGGAGGCAAGTCTTCAGATGTGCACATCGCTATTTGCAAGTCTCTTCGTAGAAGATGCATCGTGCAACGTCTCTAGTTCAGAGAGTTTGGTGCAATGTTTTTCTTGGCATGCTTTTTGGTCATCTTAGGCAGTAAAAGATGAGTCCCTGCCGGCTGTTTGTCTTGCATGTTCTTGTTTTCTGCTTTGCCTCATGTGGCTGCTGCAGTTTCATGCACCATTCTTACTGATGATTTGTCAGTTTGTTAATCGTATTCTATTCGTTTTTTTCAGTCCCAGGAGGCATGATACCTATGGCCATGGGCGTGATGCCACCGGTGAGTGTCTCAGTCTTGCTGTCGCAAATTGGTCCTTTGCTGTGGTCACAGGTTGCTCCCGTTACAGAGTCGAAATGCCAGTGATGTAGGTAAAGTGCGGGCATGGCAGTGTTGTTCACCTACAGTGCTGTTTTTTTTTTGCATTTTCAGATGATGGCACATGTGGCCGTGACGGTGCCCCCGTCGATACCGATTCTGGCGCAGCCGCCGCAGCAGCCTTCGCCGCAACCGCGCTCGCAAGGCAAGCGTGGCCACGGCACAGGCTCCAACTCGGCAGTTATCGAGAAGAAACCGCTCGTGCGCCGGAACCAGCAGCAGGCGGTGAGCAGCACCCACAGTCAAAGAAACTCTAAAGTGAAATAAGAAACTGGTTTATATTGATCACTTGTACTCTGGTTACTTTAGTGTAATTAGTTTCACCATTATAGGTTTATTAATTAATAGAGGAGAAAATGAAGGTTGAAGTTTGCTAGCAGAGCCCAAAGTATAATGCAATATCAGGTAGTCTTGCAATAACTATAGTGTTAGAAATATGCCTTCATAACAAATTTTTGTATATAACGAACTTATGTGTAATATGCAACTTTGTTAAAATGAGGTTTGATTGTCGTAGGCACTGTCGTAATCTGACATCACAGTGATTTGCGTGGTAACTTTAAGGTGGCTTCGTCACCTGCATCTTTGTTCTACTGAGTTTCGTCGCTTCTGGAGCATCTTCTTGTGGCAAGTATGGTGATTGCGGGATTTTGAGTGACTAGTTTATCAATTTGAGAACATTTATTTTTGCTCTGTGTTTCTTTGACGTTTTTGGTTTTTCTTGTTCTTTCATTTGGACATCATAAGATTTCGCACTGCTGGAGATGATGTGAGACCACTGATTTTACATTGTGCTAGCAAGTTGTTTGCTCATTCCATTGCTGCACAATTTTGTAATGCATAAGAAAGAGTGTGTTAAGCTGTTTCTCACATGTGGGTGTTCCTTCATTCATGACGCCATTCCCCCATATTCGCGCCATGTAGCTGCTGATTTACTAAATTATTTATTTTTTCAATAAGATTCCAGAGTTTGTCGAACCCTGATACGACGAAACTGATGGGACGCGAAAAAAAATTTTGCTGAAGTGAAAATTTTATTGTAGTGACATCGAAAGAAAAATATAACCGACTTCAGCTAGCAAAACACATTTTTAATGCCTAAATTTGGAAAGTGTCGGCTGTTTCCTTTTTTTGTTCCCAGCAGTGTCGAGACGGGATTCTCACACATACTTAGTGACACCACGTTAACAAGGACGCGAAAATAACGGCCACAACGGCTTTCGTAAACGAACCTAGCAGTTGCACTACCGCGGTAACACAAGCAGATGTCGGCCGTCAAAAGGTATCCGACAACACTGAGATGCAGGCATGGTATGTAGAACAGTGACTGATGCCTTATTCTATCCTATTCTTATCATCCACTAGTAGTGGCTAGCTTATCTTGTTGATGTTGCGAAAGAACAGCCACTCTGACTAGTTGACCATACTGGCCAAGTGCGAAAATAACCAAAAGCAGTGGCATCAAAAAGGCACCATTCTGCGATTGCACTTAGCAGCAGTGTGCAGGAAACTAAGCTTTAGCTTCTAATTGTCTGCGACTCGGAAGCAAGCCTGTGACGAAAGCGTGGCAGTCTCGTTGTCGTCATTATCATCAAGCGATGGCGGCCTCCATGCTTACCCCGTATTCACAAACGCTCCTCGACTCGACGTTTCCCCTTCACTTGACAGAGTTGAGCACTGCGCCGCCGCTCGGCTAAAAATGGCGCTGCGCTACTGAAGAATCACAGCAGATTATCGCTGATATGCAGCGACTTGTCGCGACTAGAGACGGCACTCTTATCAGCTTTCTCAAGTGAAGGTGATGCGTTGAGTGAAGGGACGTGCTAGAATACGGAGGTTAGTATGCTTAGTAAGCGGCGGCGGTTTCCAGTGGCGCCAATGCGCATTTTAAACTTTGTGGGTGTATCTTTATGTTCTAAAAATGCATCAAAAATGTTCAAGATTGTGTTTACGGCAATAAATATTCGAGACGGAAACTGCATCATCGACTTTCGTTGAAGTGGAATGGCAGAAGAAAAAGTGTTTATTGTGTTGAGAATATTCATGCACTGGCTCCTATGGGTTGCTGACAGGGAACCGAAAACTTTTTCTTGTAGTGGCTGTAGCGGAGTTCAACTGTATTTGTGCTGATTTCAAATGCAGTTACTTTTATAGTATGTGCAGTTGCTATTGTACAACATATTCTATGTGTTTATTGGGTGTGTTTTGATTAAACTCGCAGAGTTTATGTATATTTGTGCTTATTTCAAATGTGCAATTGTTTTTCAGCTATAATGTGCAGCCTTTAAAATTCAAAATATTCTATTTTTAGATTGGGGAGCAAGGTTTTTCCTAGACCAAGTTACAGGGTATATCAACGTGTCCCAATAATCTGGAACGAGAACTGTGTGCAGTGCAGCAAAATTAGGTGCTCTAAAGCAATTTGAATAAAAGGTATGGTATGTTGAACATTTGCTAGTGAGTCAATTTCAAGCTGGGATTTCACTGGCAAAGGTTTAACGCAACGTAAACTTTTGTTTTGTTATGGTGGGTTTAGAACATGCACTTTTGTTCCGCTGCACACATTTTCCACACCAGATCTTGGAGTATGCTTACTTACTTTCTAACTTGGCCACTTTACAAAAAAATCTTTTCTATGAAGCACATGAAATATGTTGCCTTTTACAAGCTGTGTATTCAAAAAAAAATTATATGTTTGAAATTAGCACAATAAAATGCATTAACACCTGGAGTTTCATGAAAAGTTATCAAGAAATGAAACAAACATTTTTTAAATGCCGTGTTGCATGCAAAGTTGCTAATGGTAAAATGGCTTTTTTAAATATTGTAGCAGCATGAGAACACCTCAAAAGGTCCTCCTGTCACGGTCTTTGTGGGAAACATCACTGAGCGAGCGTCTGACAACCTCATCAGGCTCATTCTTCAGGTTTGTGGGGTTTGGTTGCCTAAAGCCATTTGATGCCGTACAAGTCTCTGTCATGGGCATTTTCCTGAGTTCTGTCGTTGCATTCTCGCTTTGCGCAGCGGTGTGGTACCGTGGTCAGCTGGAAGAGAGTGCAGGGTGCCAACGGCTGGCTCCAAGGTGTGTAAGACACACAGCCGACGCTGCTGATTCCCCGGCAGCTGTCACGCAATGTGTGTCGTGGATTGACTTTGGATTCTTGCAGGCTTTGGCTTCTGCGAGTACGGCGATCCCGAGTCGGCCATGAGGGCTATTCGTATCCTGCATGACTGGGAGATTGGAGACAAGAAACTAGTGGTGAGCTCTTGTTGCAAGCATTTTACGTTTGCTCACTCTGGATGTGTTTCTTGCCTGGCATGTGCAATTATTCGTACTTTTTCTGGTAAAACAATAATATACAAAGGTTTTAGACATGCTGTGGATGAAATGTAATTACAATGAATCCCTGATTGAGCAAAAAAAAGCCTTTGCTATCGTAGTGGCTCCTCCTGCACCTTTCAGTGACAGTGTATCGATTTGTCGCATAAAGCCATCCCACAGCGAATCTCGTTTTCCACGTCTGGAGTCTCTTCCATTGAAATCCTCAAACAACTTGAAGCTCCCTATAAACTCGCACCGTTTCATGGCTGATGTGCTAAGTTAAAGCTGGATATAACGAAATGGATAAATTCCCAGAAAAATTTGTTATGAAAAGGTTTTGTTATATGCAGGTTCGGTACGAAAATTCTGAAAATAAACGCTCAAATTAAACAAAAGAGGTCTGAAGGCTGAGCTAACCCTAAACACTCATTTTGCAGTAAAAAACTGCGTTATTATTGTGATAACAATTTTATGGACACTATCGGCAAGTTCTTGCTGTCACCGCCATGTTCAGCAACAAGTCCAAATTGACAACATGCCCCCACGCATTGTAACCTTCACAAGCGGGTAACAGCGCGCGAGCGCTGCTGAAGCAGAGGTCACATGAGTCGGCCCATCCCTATCGCCTGGAAAGTGCATAACATGTCCCCCGTGTAGAATTGCCATTGAATGCTCAAAAAAAGTAAACCACCTGTCTTAAACGAGCATGAAACAAAGAGGGGGGGGGGGAATCGCTCGAGTAGCAATAATGAACTTGAATTTTAAGGGCGGTTGCGATCCTGGGGCGCTTGCTATCTCGGCGAGTATCAATGCTGTTTCAATGCGAAGGGACCATGTGAAAAGAGCAAATGCAGTGGTTCCCATAGTGTGCGTGCGATTCTCCCTGCTGAAGGATAAGCGCTTGGGGGCACAAGCATCTAACCCCCTCTTCCCTCTCCACATTCCTGGGGCAAAGTACCAGTGGGAGATAAGCGTGGGAGATAAGCGCTTGTCGGCCTATCATGACAAGCTGAGCGCCGAGCGCGGGTGACTTTTTTTTTCTTGAGTTTTTATATATATAGGTAGGTATATATATATACTATACATATTCATTTAATTATCAAATACTGCGGACACATAGTCCAAGCAGGGAGGGCAAATCAAATGGTACAACAGTGAACATGTCAAAAACAAAAAGAAATAACGGAACAAGAACACTAATACAGGAATAGTCAATACGTTTGGCGAAACGCTATACAAACAAATTAATAATAATCAGCATTTTGGTGTCGATTCGATTACACAATTCAATTCAGTTATTGTACGAGGGAAAAAATAATTTTTAAATGTGTTCGTTCACGCCAAGTATGGTGTTATTGCATCTTGTCTACGGTGACGAATGGTACGGGTTAATAGCGGCGACAGATGTAAACTAGTTTAAGAAATGCTAGTCTGTGCTTCTGTCTTCTGATATCGAGTGGTTCAATGTTCTTAGCATTCATAAGTTCTGCGGGTGAATCCTGTCTTGAGAACTTGTTAAATATAAATCTGATTGCCTTTTGCTGCACTCTTTCGAGGTTATTGATATTAGTTTTTGTATACGGATCCCAAACAATACATGTATACTCTTGTTTGGTTCTGATTAAGGTGTTACAGCATAGCAGTTTTACGTCGGAAGGTGGTTTTTTAAGTTTATGCCTCAGGAGGCATAATTTTCTGAAGGCTGAGGAGCAAGTTTTACTTATGTGCCCATTCCATGTTAACGGTTTAAAGGTGACTCCTAGATATTTGTATTGGGTTACTTCATGCATGGGGAATGAACCTAATTTATACGTATGAATCAAAGGTGATTTCTTATCTGTCATTTGCATTAGTACGCTTTTGTCGGTGTTTGGTGTCATTCCCCAGTGCCTGCACTATTCAAGAATATTACTTAAACTATTATGTAAGCTAATTTGATCATTGATAGAATTAATGTCTTTAAAAAGCACACAATCATCGGCAAATAATCTAACCTGGACACCTACTTCAACCATATTAACAATGTCATTAATGTATATAATAAAAAGGAGAGGGCCGAGGACACTGTCCTGTGGCACACCTGATGTGGCTGGAAGTGAGCCCGATTTTCACCATCAATTTCCACGAATTGATGCCGGTTTGTCAGATATGCAGCAACCCAAGAAATTAACAATCCTGTTATTCCTGTGTTTACAAGCTGTAGAATTAATTTATCGTGAACATATATGGTGAATGAAGGCGGCGGCGGAAAAAACCCAGCCGGAACTGCCCATATACATCATTGCTATCGCAATAAAAAAAAAAAGCAAAGCTGAACATTGTCGGGGGACACACCATGCGGGCGCAGTGAAACTATGCACGCACGCACACCGTCGAAAACAGAGTGAACGACATGGACACAGACACGGTTGCCGCGGAAACTATTCGGTAAAGCGCCCTTTATATGCAGCGCGGCCCCACACATGTGACGCTAACTAAAAGCGTGGCACTGCCAATGGGTAAAAGTAGTTTTTTTTAATATTTGGTTGGGGGGGGGGGGGGGGGCACGACCGCGCATGCGACCCGTGCTGCGAGAAAGGGGGCAACGCCTGCTCCTAAGGTGCAGGCCCGCCTCATGTGGACGCGGCCCGCTTGCTTGCCGTTACCGCTTCGGTGGTGGGGGCAGCGGCAGCAAGATGCATGCTCGTGCCAAAATGCCGAAATTCGGAGCAAAATTCTAATATTGTTCGGAGGGAAAATTTTTTATATATTAAGGTTGTCTCCCGCAGTTGCTTTGTTACATAGAGGTCGCAAATACATGTGCTCCTATGGAAAGACGGCGGGGAAGCGAAATACGTCATTATGTCCAGGAATTCGTTATATGGAGGTTTAACTGTATTCATATTAGCTGCCATCTTGTCAGCTTCTTAGTTTGCGAGGATAAGCCACACTTGCCTAGCTTGGTTTGCACTAACCATGGTTTTGTGTCTAAGTGCAGTTAGATCTGCCGTGTAGCTATCTCTAACCATGGCTAGTGATAACCATAGTTAGCTTAACCATGGCCAAAGCTATTTCTGTGTCTGGGGTATTGCAGAGTAGAGCGGTTTCTGCGCTTTTCGAAGAGTTGCGAGACCGGCTGATCATTTAAGTCTTCTTCCGCCAGGTGAAAGTGGATGCCAAGACCAAGGAGAAGCTGGACGAATACAAAGCTAGCAAGCGAACTACCTCTGGGCAGCAACAGCAGCAGCAGCCTGGTGGTTCGACGGACAGCGCTCCGGCTGCTGACGGTGCAAACTCCGAAGCCAAGCCGCAGCCAACGGACGACATAGATGAGGCCGCCTGGCGCCAGGACAGAGACACGCGAGAGGCCATTCTACACCTGCTGCGTTCGCACTCGGGCGAGCTCAGCCGAGGCACCGAGCGAGAGGCAGACAGGAGTAACAATGGTGAGCAGTTGTGTGTAGCAGTACTTTTTCACGGCACTTTTTGTTGTATACTCAAACGTTACATGAAAATAAATTTTTTATATTCGAAAATTCGTTAGAGGTATGTTCCTAACACTGTATCTATTGCAAAAGTATGCTTCATTTACTTCGTCGGCACACTCTAGGTCCAGTCAGTTTGGCTCGACTTGTTAGCATTTTACTTGGATGTGGACTAGCACACCATACCCTGCACCGACCGTGCCTTTTCATTGGTGGTGCCATGTGCCTCTTACAAAGCTTGATGCTCACAATCTGGCATTGTTTGTGACCTGCAACATTCAGCTGGTGGCCTCGTTGCGGTGGGCTGGTAGAGGTTTTGAGTGCATCCCTATACTTTTTCTTCAAGCATGGACACAGGAGCAGTTGTTTAACACCGAGTTGATTTTTTTTTCTCTCATTTGTTGCAGCCACAAAATCCCCACGTAACACTCGACGTAACAGCCCTGAGCCTGAGAGAGAGTACAAGTCCAGCAAAAACGTGAGTAAAGTCTTGCCTTGCCGTTGTCGCATTTGGCGAACAAGAAGAACCATGTGAATCTGATTGTCTTTGCTTTGAGGTGAATAAAAGATAAACGAAAATCTGCGATGTGGCTAATGAGAAATTCGAAGCCTTTCCAACAAATGTAAGTTGTTACTGCCAGAACTCCTATGTGATGAATGGCCATGTGTGCTTCTCTTTCTATTTTAGTGTAACTGGCCTGATAAATGTGTAACCACCAGTGATGGAAGTGCTGCTCTAATTGCTCCAAGCTGCTTTGAAAGAGAAATGCTGCTCCAAACAGTAATTTTTGTTTAATTACTCCAAACCTGCTCCGAAGTGACTCTGAGAGAATGAGAACAAAGAATTCTTGCTATTTTGTAGCTAATTTCATGGCACATTTTTGACAACCTTGTAGTGTTTGACAACCGTAAAGTGCAGCGATGGCGTAGTGGTTAGGTCATCCGCCTCGCATGCAAAAGGTCCGTGGTTCAAATCCTGGTGCCGCGCAGTTCCCAACCGGATTAAAAAAAATCTGCGTGTTGATGGAACTGCATTAAGAGGCCTGGGGTGCGGCCTCACCGGCAACCACCGCCGAGAACGCACTCCCTCACCAGAGAAGGATCGGCCACCCTGGTGCAGTATTTGGCCACTACCTCCCACATGCATACGTCAAATAACTCACGGCCCTCAGTCCCCAGCAGTTGCAAAGCAACTGACCACGGCGGCGGTCAGATCTGCAACGCAGCAGAAGGTGCTGAGAATCTCTGGATCCGGACAGGCTGCCATTAGAACCTGAACTTGGCAACGTTTAACGCTAGAACCTTATCTAGTGAGGGAAGTTTAGCTGTACTATTCGAAGAGCTAGAGGGTGTTAAATGGGATATAATAGGGCTCAGTGAGGTTAGGAGGACAGATGAGACCTATACGGTACTACAGAATCGGCACGTCCTTTGCTATAGGGGCTTGGCTGACAGAAGAGAACTGGGAGTGGGCTTCCTAATTCACAGAAACATAGCTGGCAACATAGAAGAATACTATAGCATTAATGAAAGGGCGGTAGGTATCGTAATTAAACTGAATAGAAGATACAAGATGAAGGTGGTACAGGCTTACGCGCCTACATCCAGCCATGATGACGCTTCAGTTGAAAGCTTCTCTGAAGACGTGGAATCGGCAATGAGTAAGGTAAAAACACAGTATACTATACTGATGGGAGACGTTAACGCAAAGGTAGGGAAGAAGCAGGCTGGAGACCAGGCAGTAGGAGAATATGGCGTCGGTACTAGAAACGCCAGAAAAGAGCTACCAGTAGAATTCGCTGCACGCAACAATCTGCGGGTTTTGAATACCTTCTACCGAAAACGAGGAAACCGCAAGTGGACATGGAGGAGTCCTAATGGTGAAAATAAAAACGAAATAGACTTTATAATGAGTGCACACCAGGCATCGTGCAGGATGTGGAAGTGGTTGGCAAGGTACGATGCAGTGACCATAGAATGGTACGGTCTCGAATTCGCCTAGTTTTGAAAAAGGAACGACAGAAACTGCTACTCAAGAAGCCAATCAATGAGCTAGCACTGAGAGGGAAAGTACAGGAATTCAGAGTCTCGCTTCAGAACAGGTACTCGGCTCTTAGTGAGGAAACCAACCTTAGCGTAGATACAATGAATGATAATCTGACGAGTATCATTACGGAGTGTGCAGTGGAAGTTGGAGGCAGGGCAGTTAGACAGGACACTGGTAAGCTTTCCCAGGAAACGAAGAATCTTATTAAGAAGCGTCAAATTATGAAGTCTCAAGTACAACAGACAAATAGAACTGGCAGAGCTTTCAAAGTTGATTAGTAGGCATAAGGTATGCAATGTAAGAAGGTATAACATGGAGACAATTGAACACGCTCTGAAAAACGGAGGAAGCGTCAAAGCAGTGAAGAGGAAACTTGGTATAGGCAAAAATCGGATGTATGCACTAAGGGACAAAGAAGGCAAAATAACTACCAATATGGATAGGATAGTTAAAATAGCGAAGGAGGTTTACAAAGATCTGTACAGTAGCGGAGACAACCATGACCTTAGTACTATAAGAACTAGCAGTAACCCAGATGACACCCCATCAGTAATGATAGAAGAAGTCAAAAAAGCTTTGGAGAGCATGCAAAGAGGCAAAGCTGTTGGTGAGAATCACGTAACATCAAATCTGCTTAAAGATGGAGGACAGATTGTGTTAGAAAAACTAGCCACCCTGTTTACGAGGTGTCTCCTGACGGGAAGAGTACCAGAGTCTTGGAAGAACGCTAACATCATCTTAATACATAAGAAAGGAGATGACAAGGACTTGAAGAATTACAAGCCGATCAGCTTGCTCTCTGTAGTATACAAGCTATTTACAAAGGTAATTGCTAACAGAGTAAAGAAAACAATAGAACTCAATCAACCAAAAGAACAAGCAGGATTTTGAACAGGCTACTCAACAATCGACCACATTCATACTATCAATCGGGTAATAGAGAAATGCTCAGAATATAACCAACCACTATACATAGCCTTCATAGATTGCAAGAAGGCGTTTGATTCAGTAGAAATATCTGCCGTCATGCAGACACTACAGATTCAGGGCGTCGATAAAGTATATATAAACATCCTGGAAGAAATCTACAGGGGATCAACTGCTACCATAGTGCTTCATAAAGAAAGCAACAGAATACCAATCAAGAAGGGTGTAAGGCAGGGGGACACAGTCTCAACAATGCTGTTTACCGCGTGCTTACAGGAGGTTTTCAGAAGCCTAGAATGGGAACAGTTCGGTATAAGAGTTAATGGAGAGTACCTTAGTAACCTGCGCTTCGCCGATGACATTGCATTGCTGAGTAACTCGGGGGACGAATTGCAACTCATGATTACGGAGTTAGACAAGGAGAGCAGAAAGGTGGATCTTAAAATGAATCTGCAGAAAACAAAAGTAATGTAGAACAACCTCGGAAAAAAGCAGCGCTTCGAGATAGGTAATAGTGCACTTCAAGTTGTAAAAGACTATGTCTACTTAGGGACGAGATTGAAGTAACTAGAAGAATAAGAATGGGGTGTAGCACATTCGGCAAGCACTCTCAAATTATGACAGGTAGATTGCCACTATCCCTCAAGAGGAAGGTATATAACAGCTGTATCTTGCCGGTACTTAGCTACGGAGCAGAAACCTGGAGACTTACAAAGAGGGTTCAGCTTAAATTGAGGACGATGCAGCGAGCAATGGAAAGAAAAATGGTAGGTGTAACCTTAAGACACAAAAAAAGAGCAGAGTGGATTAGGGAACATACGGGGGTTAAGGATACCATAGCTGAAATCAAAAAGAAGAAATGGACATGGGCCAGGCATGAAGCGCGTAGGCAGGATAACCGCTGGTAGTTAAGGGTAACTAACTGGATTCCCAGAGAAGGGAAGCGGGTTAGGGGGAGACAGGAGGTTAGGTGGGCAGATGAGATTAAGGGGAGACACTGGTCTGAAATTTTTTTAATTTTCTGTATTTCCAGCTGAAATTTTAATACAATATGTATTTTTCACAGCTGAAAACAAATATGCAATTAGTTTTTTGCTATCACTTTAGATTTTTAAATATTGACTGTTACATAAACTTGCATTCTGCCCAGCCTTTTGACATCTTCCTCATAAAATATTGCTACAAATTTGATATGACAGCATTCCATGAAGGCCAGGGAATGCAACAAAACCATAATTTTATTTTTAGCCTCATTGGTGCCAGAGTTATGGCCTTAAGGGGGGACGTGGCAAGTAAAACTAATTTTTTTATTAATGTACTGTTTGTGATGCAATTTGGTGTGTGTATGTGGATGATTGTGAGGATTCCAAATATGAAAACCGTTTTCAAATACCTCTTGTACTTTTGAGTTACAAGCGATAATTTACTAATTATTGCTCTTCACACTTAAAGATA